GGAGTCGAACCGGATCTCTTGCATTCCGTGTCTCGGTAGTCTAAAGGCTTAGGACACTCGCACGGAATGCAAGAGAGAGTTTATTACAGTTTTTTAAGATTTGAGAGAATTTGGGGGGATTATTTGTTTCAGATTGATTGTGTGAATCCGATAATTTCATCGGCTCTCAATTTATTTCTGGAATATTAAAATTCAATTTAAATGAATGTATATTAAATAGTAGTTCAACATCTTAACACTCGGACCGGGAAGGCGCTTTGTATTTAAAGTTTTAATATATAGGGTTGGCCATATTCGACGGAAAGATGTTTTTTTGTTAATCATGGGAAAAAACGAGAAAAAATGAGAAAATACACGCGTGGCGTGTACTGTTCCATGGTGGCACAAATTTCCTTCGACTGACGCTTCAAACGCGCTACGTCGTTACTCGATCTAACATCTCTGTCAAAAGTTACAGTGTTGCCACATCTTTCCGTCGAATATGCATCTTTCCGTCGAATATGGCCAACCCTGTATACAAAAAAGTATGTAACCAATCGCATTATATGGACAATGGTAATATACATCGCCAGCATATAATATTGGGGTTATGTGCAAATTTCATTTATTCTGCAAATTTTAACGGTGAAATTATAGCGAAAATAGCGGAACGACTGTGATTCGTCGTATTGATTCCACGTATTCCGTTCCGTTGTCAATTTCCGCTCTATGGAACGTCACCCTAATGGCTGCACACAGAACGTGGTAAAGGCCACAGCACAGACTTTTGCATAACGCATAATGCATAAGCGAATCAACTAATCAGAATCTTTTTTCTATTCCATGGAAAAGAAGAATTTCGATTGGTTGATTTTCTTATGCATTATATGTTATGCAAGAGTCTGCTGCAGCCATAACGTTTGCCGTGCGGCGGAAATTGTTGCATTAGCGTATAATTTTATGTTTTCAAGTCGGTCCCATTTTGCAAAATTTTTAGAAATGATGTAATACTATTTCCACTGCACGGCAAAAGTTGGATTGAGTTCAACTTTTGTTGCCCGGCGGAAATTATATATATATTACTTATGAGTAAGCGAGATGTTGATTGGTTGTCGCGCCAATTTCCGCCGCGCGGCAAGCGTTGTCGCATTCTGTGTGCAGGGACCATAAGGGATTCCGCACAATAAAAAGAAGAATCTGTATCCATTTTAATCCATTTCACTCCATTCTCGTTTGCTGGATAGTTTTGCTAACTTTATATACTCCGATATAAACTTCAGAGTATCTGAAAAATCAAAATAAGTGTTGGTATAAAATAGGATCTCCACCTCTAAATGAATCAAAGAATGATGTATTTAGATTTCGATTTGTTAGTAATATAGTAATTGCTCCGACGGGTACTGGGAGAAAAAGAAGAAGTAGAATGGCGGTAATTAAAAATTGATTGAACTAATAGTGGGATTTTATCTATAGATATAATTTTTTGATGAATATTTAAAATTAAGGAGATAAAATTAATTGCTTCCACAATAGAAGATATTTCTGCAATATGCAGAGAAAAAATTATAGTTAAGACAATTGAGAGGCCCCTGGAAAATATTAGATATAAGTAGGGGATAAAGGGTTTATTCCGCCCCAGTATATGAATATATAAAATTTCTTAAAATAAAAAGAGTTAAAGAAGGGGGTAGTAGTAAAAATCTTATATTATTTAAACGTATTAAACGTGTGTATGCTACGTCAAGTGATCTTACTAAGGGAATTAAGAAGTTTCTAAAACCTCTATTCGCCATTTTTTGACTGTTTGCATCATTCATAATTTTCGAGAAATCTATCCGGTTTGAGGTAACCGATTTTCACTTCCTTTTTTGGGGATGTAATTGGTCACGTTTACCCCAATCACGGGAACCAGGGCCAACCAATAACGAAGAAGAAGAATAACGTGTATTGTGATAATTTATACAAATTTTATTGCGATGGCTTCGAGTAATACGAATAAATATATAAATACGTAAATATTAAATTAATAGATATAGTTTAACATTTAATACACATTCGGTATTAGAGATTTATGTTCCTAATCTAAAACTCGCTGTAAAGCTGATTCTACAATGAGTCAGCAATCAGAAATCGTAAATTGACGTTACAATTGGATATATCAATTTTCAGTGTCAGACGAAGGCTATGTTCGGCTACGATCCACTTAATGCTACGAATGCTTTGAAGCATTTTGTGATCAAGTAAAATTCTTTCTTTCAATTGATCAAGTAAAAGTTTCAAAGCATTTGTAGCATTAAGTGGATTATATCCAAAATCAGACACTAGCGACAAAATTAATACCACATGATCATACATTTTTCAGCGTCTCATGAAAGCACCTAGTCCGACAATTACATCAACTAGCTCCAAAAAATTTGTTGGGGGCCTCTTTGTGTACACTTGTGCGATGTACCGAGTCTAGGGAGTCGATTGCGGATTTTGAAAGTAAGTGAAAATTACAAAAGTAAGCAAAGATTACAAGGTATTGACCAATTAAATTATGAATAATCTAGTGCATTTGCTCACTTTTGTAATTTTCATCTCATTTGAAGATACATAATCGACCCCCCAGACAAACATGTAACATTGGCGAGGAACTGTACCATTCATCCAGCCGAACACACCAGTTGTACCGACATTCGAAATGTGCAGTTGGTGCGTCCCAGCCGAAATCACTATGAGCGCAAAAACAAAATGGAAATTATCAAATACATGTTTTATTAGTACAATAAAATATATTGTACAATTGTACAATTTAATCTGTTTTTAATATATTTTTACAATTGTGTATGACAGCTTTATGTGCACTAGTGCATCCCAGCCAAAATCGCTATTATTAATAATAGCAAATTTATATAATTTATCGATAATGTTAGTATTCTTCAATTACCTCCGGGCTCTTGGGGCCCTTTTTATACTGCTGAAAATTTGCCCAGAGTTAACAGTCCTTAATAGTATCTCGTCGATGCTTACTCATTATTACCGACGAGATACTATTAAAGATCGATATTTTTATGGGAGTTCGCGTTCTTGTGAATATTGAAGTCATTAAGAGTTAAAAACTGATAATATTGTATTAATTTTATGATTTATTAGTTTAGTTGACGTATTTATGCATTTAAAACTCAATAATACTCGATTTTTCTTTAAAATTTAGTGTGATAAAATTTAGTATGATTTTAGTGTTATCGTCAAAGTTTGATTATCAACAGAGATGATAACTGTAAAGAAAAAATTGTAATTTTTCTGCAATATATAGGATATTATATAGTTTTATAAGTATGCATATTTATTTATGGAACATTTATACAAAATCATGAATTTAATAATGTATTAGCCAAATATTTATGTAATAATGACAAATTTATATCAATTGTCGATAATCTCAGCGTTCTTCAATTATCTTCAGATTCTTGAGGCCCTTTTTATACCACTGAAAATTTGTCCAGGATTGACGATCTTTAATAATATCTCGTCAGTGTTATTACTCACTATTAAAATAAGTTAAACCTCGGTTAAAAGTTAACGATGAATTGTAAAACTGGGCCTAATCCATGAAACCGTCGGTTAACTTAATCGAGGTTGATGAAAGAAAAACCTAAAAATCCGATCAAAGAACGTGCCGTGTAAACGCATGGTCAATGATTCGAAGGGTTACAGTAGCAGTGTGACTTATCGGCCTAGTAATAAACAGTATTAAATAATATTTATTTATCGTAATAAAGAATAAAAATAAGAACATAATAAATACAATTGATTTTTTATTTCTTTTTTCTTTAATTTAGAAATGAATAAATTATATCTGTGGATAAATTAGGCTGGTAAGTCAGATTGCTATTATGACTTTTCGAATAATTGGCCTAATTTCCACCGAGGGTTTAAACCGGATCAGAATGTAAGAATCAACCAATTACAGTCGAGCATTTCCCTATCGTTCGACTGTAACAAGAGAATACTCGACTGTAGTTGGTTGGTTATTTTTTACATTCTGATCTGGTTTAAACCTTCGATAGAAACTAAGCCATTGACAAGTAGTGGTACGTACATGAACAATTATACAAGTATCTTTGGAAAATAGCTAGATACTTTCTTCTATTCGGCTTTGATAAGATAGTGAATGATTACGTGATCGGCACGTTGAGATCAAAGGTGCAGACACGAAGTATCCTTACTGGTTATACTATGTGCTTCCAAGCATGTATGTGATGGGATGTATTTTCGTTATGTAATCAGAAGCAACCGTGACCAAGATTATCTTCGTCTTCTGATTCTTATATATGTTTAAGATTTCAATTAAGAGAACTGACGTCATTTTGATGATAGTTTGCTTTTTTCGAGTAAATATTTACTTCTAGATGGCGCAGTGGTCATTGGAAGTACGGGGTGTCTCATAAAACCAACTTCACACAGAGTACAGATTACAGATTATTATTAACACCATAATATCATTATTCATATTTTTTTGACTGCATAAATTTTATTTATTGAAATAAATATAAGATTATGGCATACAAAAATATAAACGAATTGGTCAATTACAGTAGAGAGCCTAAGGTAATAACGTAAACAGTATCAAATTCAAAATATGGATTTATTTACTGCTTAAGTTTTTGTGTACCATAGCTTTAATGGTAGATATGTTAAGAAAATTATAAATAAGAGCTTTTGTTTTGCTCTTTTAATATTTTCTATAATACTAGACTTTGGGACGCCTTGTATATGAAAACTAATGAGCCGGGATTTCCAGTGATTGGCTGTGATTCGTATTTCAAGGATAGAGTTCAGTGTGTTTTCAAGGTTTCAGGAAATAAAAGAGTTCGTAAGCTATATATATTTTCGTCTGCGAACGATGCTGGCGATTTGATAATCCAATAAAGTTACATCGCGCGTCGCGGTGATCCGATTGTGATATCTGAGTTCTATTTTAATATACGTGTTATTTTTTTGATACAGTAAAGTGTAATTACATTTTTGACCATCAACTTCAGAATTGATATTTTCAACAAAATGCTACGTAAGTATTCTTAAAGAAAATCAATCTTTTTTAAGAAATTAATATTAATCTTTATAACTTGATTACGTATATATCATTCAAATCTCTTTTAGGCAAATATTTCCAATTTTTGTATGAAAAGAAATAATAGCTGGTTATTGTTTTTCACATTGTATATATGAACAACAAAAAATTGTTCTTCAAAAAGATTTTTTTGAAAAATTTTGTTATACTTTTCAAAACATTTGTATATACTAAAACATTTTTTTAACATATACGTATTTTATTATGACAAGTTCTATTGTATTTTCTCTATTATTTGTATAAAGTGAAAGCTTGAAAAACATTAAATTTGTAGTTAAAAAATAGAACATTGACACATTGGATTCTTTTTTCTTTTCATTTTTTTCTTTTGTTTTAATCTGCATTTTTTTAATAAAAAAAATTCAAAATGAAATAAATTTAATTTTAATGAAAACAGTAAAAGTACAACAGAAAATCTAATTTATATGAATACAAAATATATTTTTATAAAAAAAATTATAAATTTGGTAGACAAAATAAAATGGTAAATCTGTAAAATGTTCGTAAATTAAATGTTTAGCTAAAACTTATAAATTGTCCTATATTATGTGTTTTTTAATTAATTTAAATTCAATACTTCTATTAAATCGTCTGCATTTTAAATGTTTTATATAGTTAAAAATATCTTTAATGATAGGCACGTCTTTATATGTTTTTGATAAAATTAATTAATCATAAAAGAGAAAGCTTCTTTTTCTTCTTTATAAAATAATAATTACAGAATAATACATAATTAATAATCTTAAATATTTCTATTGCTATTATATATTTTAATGGTAAACTATGAAAAATAAGAACTTAGTTTAAGTCGAAAAAAACATTATTTATCTTTAAACTTATATTTCTTATTGTTAGCTATATCTGCTCTGTGTACACATAACATAAATGCATAAATATAAGATCAGTAAAGTGGACTTTTTAATATAAAACAAATACTTAAATATAAGATTAATGAAATTATAGTTTTATCGAAATATTTTTATAAAAAAACATATCAGTATGAAAAATTATTTTATAATTTCCTCTTCCTGTCATAAAAATATGATCATTTTGTCATTACTTATTGTGTTATTATTTTATGTAATAATTTAACATATTTTTTTAAAGAGAGAAATGAAAGAGGAAAAGAATAAACAAAACAAATTGTTTAAATTGAAGTGCAAGAAAAACTATATTTTAAAATATTAATATATTGTATTATTTATAGGAATTGCATCAATATTCCTGCTTTTTGCCATCTCAGAAATCATTGCTCAAGATTGCGAGAATAAAGATACACAATGTTCTACACCATCAGAATTTAATCAAGACACCAATTGGCAGTCAGCTACTTCAGTTTACGATTTTCATGCAAACGACATTTTGGGCAAAAATGTCTCATTGGAGAAATATCGTGGTTATGTTCTTATTATTGTTAATGTAGCCAGTAACTGTGGCTTAACAGATATCAATTATAAACAACTCCAGCAGTTATATAATAAATATAGCGATAGTGGTTTGCGAATTCTTGCGTTTCCTTCTAATCAATTTGCTGGTCAGGAGCCGGGCACTTCTGAGGAAATACTAAACTTTGTGAAACAGTACAATGTTACTTTTGACATGTTTGAGAAAATTGATGTAAACGGAGAGAATGCTCATCCGCTGTGGAAGTGGCTGAAGACACAGAAAAGCGGACTTATTACCGACGCAATTAAATGGAATTTTACTAAATTTATTGTAAACAAAGAAGGTAAACCAGTAGAAAGATTCTCTCCGTCTACTGAACCATTAAGTATGGAAGAAAGTTTGAAAACGTACTTTTAAGTTTGTACAACGCTTGCTTCCTTTCTTTCTGTATTTTATACATATTTTTAACAATTTTTTATTTAGTACACAAATATAAAATTACATATGCATGTAATTATATAATATTAACAAAGTACGGAGGATTATCTTTTTCCTTTATTATATAATCTTTTTTTTTAAATATACTTTGTCACATAATGGTATTGTATTTAAAGACAATATAAATAATAAAAATAAAGTTATTTTATAAATATATAATGACCTTGAGATCCCAACAAACGAGAATGGATTGAAATGAATTGAAATGAATAGATTTTTAAAAATATTAATATACGAATGTTAATCCTGAATTTTTATTCATTTTTCATCATAAGAATTGCATGAAACATATCTCTATGTCCTTCAATCTAAAAATAATATTAGCTTTTTCTGTGTATTGTGAATACTGTTCAATTCAAAATTGTGAATAGGAAATGCAGTTTTTTAATCCAATTGCATCCAATTGAATCGAATTGAATCCAAAAAAAGTATTCACTATTTAAAATATGCATAAATTAAAATATGCATTTGGATAGAAAACAATTTCAATCCATTTTAATCTATTCTCGTTTACTTGTTTACCGAAAATTTATAGATATATAAGATTCACAGAAATATTAAGAAATACTAAATTTTCTTCTATATGAGAATTAAAAAAACTTTGATGAATTACTCAAACTTTGTATTCTTTATGAATTGTAAAATGTATTTAAAAATATTTAATTAAAATTCATCGCTTATAAACTTATACATACATACTTTAATTGTCAGTAAGAATGACATCAATTCATATTCTATAAATTTTAACAATGTATACCCATATGTATCGATATAATTTATATCAATTTTATATTTATATCTTTTTTTAACGTTTTACTACAATAAATGGCTACGATAAATGGTTAAACTTATAGATGTGAAAAAGTGACGTTTTGACGACGAAATTTATGTTGCATGCCATTTCATTATTTGCTTAATTGTGAAAATGTGACTTGTCTCGTACTTATCAAAATCGTAATTATCGATGAAAACTAAAGTTATCTTGGAATTTTATATGTAAAAGCGTGTTTTACTCGTTTCAACAGCTGTTAGACCGTATGTTTCGATCCGAATATACAGGTTGACTTTACATGCCTTTTACTATTATTTACTGATTGTCAAGGCAAAAAAGGACAGTTTTCATCGATTTTTGCAAGTGTTTTAAAGCGATCTCGTCATTTCGTTTCATCTAAATTGTCTTTACTTACAAATGGACCATGCAACACATGGTCTGTATTCCTGCATTAGAGTCTCTTTTTCGCTTTCGACAAATATCAAACTGTAGCGGATTGCTACACATAATAAACGTAGGTAATGGAAGAAACTCAAATTCATAAATATATATATATATATATATAAAACAATGTTCGTTTATTATCACATACAATATCTTACCACGACAATGTGACTCGATATATCTCGTGTATCTGGACGGTTAAAGAATGAAGAAGAGAGAATATCTAGAAAATAGGAAATTCAGTATCGTGTTCGTGAAAGCGCGCCATCTGATCGCGGAGTGTGAGTCTAACGAGTATAAGGCATGGTTGAAGTATAACTGAAAGAGTGTGAAAATGTGTGTGTGTGTGTGTGTGTGCGCGCGCGCGCGCGCGCGCTTTCTTTTGTAAGAAAGAATTGCAAAATGTTCTCTGGTGACAATTTTCTCAATTTTTATATGAATTTTTATATAAACCATTTTCCAGAAATACTTAGAAAAGTTTACATCTTCTCTTAGAATTTTTCATACATGTGAATTCTGAAATATTCTGAGATTTCTCATTCCATAATTAAAAAAAATATTTTTAACTTTTTTAGATTTTATAATATTTTATCAGAAATTCTATTGTACTTAACACAAATTTTAAAAGTTTTAAAATATTAATATTATATAATTATATATATAATTAATAATTATATAATTTTATTAACATTATACATAAAAAATGCGAGGAAGTTATAAAATCACGAATTTTGTGGCTTAATAATTTATAAATAATAATTTCTGATTCATAAAATAAGAACCATGGAAAGATTCTTAACTATAGAGAACTTTAAGTAATCTTTTTATCAGTGTTTTAAATATTTCGGTAACTTTTACTTAATTTTATTCCTTTTTTCAATCTGAAATTATTACTTAACATAGACCTGCGATAAATGATATTTGTTTTCCTGTTACATTTCCTGCAACCTTTAAAAGATTTAGCAATTATCCCATCTCACGTTAAAAAGATAAATAGAGAATTCAACTTTAATGACGCTGACCCAGACATATAGTGTCAAGGTCGTGATACTGAGTGACCATCCGACAGTTTCATCAGTCGACCTTTGATCGTAAAGAAGTTATTAAAAAGTAAAATAAAAAAGTTGAGATTGCCATCTGTCGATTGAAGTTCGAGACGTAATCCATGGGCCAAACAGACGACGTGGACGTTGACAATAACGTTTCTTAAAATTCAACAAAATTTGGAACTTGTTTTAGTACTTCCACTCGCGTAGGGCAAATAGAAAAATAATAAATGTACTTTTATTACACAATTTGGATACAAGCTATCGAATGACCATGCATAGAATTTGATCGGCATAACTATATCTCATTGAGATATAATAATCGTGATCTCGAAAAACTCATCGCTTCGCATAAATATACCCATCAGTGTCTCGTGCTAAGAACGCTATCCTTAGCGTCGAGCCACTATTATGTCTCTGGATTATATATTATAATTCCTAATACCTACAATGACTACATTTCACGTTTAATCGGATTAATAACATCCGTAGTTATGAAATTTGCTAATCATAGCTGTTCCTCGGAAAAGAGGAACAACCATTGCTATGATTGGCCAGATTCATAACTATGAATGTTATTAAATCCGATTAAGGATGCTATGTAAATGTAGTCAATATTGCAGCGATGTTAGGGCAATCTGTAATATTGCAACATTTCTGCAATGTTAGTGTAAGTTTCTGTGCTGTATGGATCAATGAGCGCTCAGTGAGCAGTCGTCGCTTCTGGATGCACCCATTTGAATTATTTAAGCATTAAAGATTCAGCTTCGACCGGTATAGGCTTTTAGTTTTTCGAATATATTATTATATTATTTATATAATTTCTTTCACAATGCTGTGTACTCTGTGTAGTTTATTCTTTCTAACGAAGAAAAAATGTGGGGAGAAAAAGTAATCTCCTAATTTTATTGAGAGTATACATAATTATACATAATTATATATATTTGTATGAAAACTGAAAACAGTAATCAATGTAGTTTTATTGGGAGGATTCCGTTTGCTTACAATCTCAATTGCACACACTACTCATATTAGCTGACGCCTAATAATTTTTTACTGTTTTACCAACGAGAATATTTTATTTTTAAATTGGCCAATTAGCGACGCATGTGTGCAACATGCACTATGTGCAATCGGAACCTTCCCAGTTTTATTGCTACAATGTTATTGATTATCATCACATTAAAAATTACACACAAGTAAGTTATAAAATAGATAAAAAATGTTTAAAGTATTTTAGAGACTCAAAAAGTATACTCTAAAAGAGCTTGGGAATGTTCAGAAGATTCGTCTGCTTGATTTACATACATCTTCTTACAAGATTCCTTGGCGTTTTCTTCTTACGGGAAGTAAATTCATCTTGTGGCAGGATTACGTATGAAAATTATATAATACTTGCTCAGTTTTTGCCGACAATTTGTCAAGTTATATTAGCAGATTCTGCTCGATTTACTTTTAATCTGTCATCAAGTTATATAACAGATTCTGTTTGGTTTTTGCAAATGTAATGGTGCGATCACAATAGAAGGAATAAGGAATAAGGATTCCAACCTATCAGAAACCGTGTATTTCAGTGTATTCAATATCTGATAGGTTGAAAGTATTATTCCTTACTTTTAATTTCTTATTCTTTCTATTATAGCTGTATCTTAAGAAATTTTATACCAATATAAAGTTTTTAGAAAAACAGAGTCTGGCCATCGGTCCATGTTTTCGATTGACTTGTGGCAACTGCAACCAGAGATCCAATGACGCACTTGGTTTTGCGTAAGCACCTCAGTCACTTAAAGATCCTTTAAATAGGATAACGACTGAGATTGATTTTAGGGCGTTTAAGGCAGGTCCCCACTGCATCGCCTTACTGATGAGTCTAGTAGTGTGGGACCGAGACGAAACGCCACGTCCGACCAACTAACTTAGTAAGTTTCCTCCTTTACCGACATGCCTTGGACTTTTCTTTTATTATGTAGCAATCCACTACAGGCTATTAGCTTATCCACACTATGACAGCACGAATCACAATGTAAGGAAATGGCACGCTTATTGAAAAACTTGTAGACATGAAATAACGCAAAACATTTTTTATTGATGTATTTCATATTATAATCGTAAGGAAAGGTTATAATTATAAAGAAATAATATAGTTATAAAGAAATATATAATCTGTTTAATAAAAATATAAAATTTCAAATAAAAAGTAGTTTTAAACAACATACGGCCAGTATCAAATATGTTTCCCGTACACCTTCACAAAAGAAAGACGCTGGTGGGAGAGTAATTAAAACGAAATGTAAAATCAAAACAAAAAAGCCCGATACGCTTAACAAAAAGGGGATGATGCAACATCCAAGGAGACAGGACAAATGTCCATCCCAGTTTACGCTTGTCGTGGAACTAAAGAAGTGTTTATATTGGCCATAATCGTATGCTATATGCCGTAATCTGAAAGAATTAACTATCACAATCAGGTATTCCCTTCTCATTTGATTATAAGAAGGGGATACTCGAAGATAATTGGTCAATTTTTACAGATTACGACATAGCGTCTATATTGGTTATAACCAATATAGACGCTCCTAACTTTTAAGAGTTCTAATTTCTAAGTACGAAAGTGTAAAACCGGCGGCACACGATGTTTCTTTTCTTGCTGGATTGCTAGCTGGATTAGAGTCTTGCCATCGTATTGGCTGCAATGCTCAATAAAGCGGCATTGTCAGTACTGCAGCCAATACGATGG